TCCAGTTTAGGGACCAAGGCAAGCAGCGTAAGCAGTGGGCTAGTGTCACACATTCACCAGGGGAGGGATGAGGGAGGTACACGTTGACCTGCTTCGCACCCAAGCTCCTGTGGGTGGCTTTGGAGGCAGCTGTACTCATTGGACACTTACACGCAACGGAGCGGGTTGAAGGCAGAGCCCTCTCAGCTTAGACCAGCCAATGCTGTTGTGTCAGGGTGAAGCTGGACCTTCTGACCCTTAGGCCTGTGTTCTGTCCCTGGGGTCTCTGTGGACTCTGCTTTGCACCTCCTATCTGAAGCATCCATCCTCAGGGCCTGAGAAGGAAGGAGGTTATTATTAATTGTCCCTTTATACCCAATGGCCTATTGGGTGGTTGCCGTGGGAATAAGACGCTGAGCTTTCACAGCTAAGGGTTTGAATGCACCTCTTCCTTCCTTTGAGCTGCTCTGGTCGTTACAGGAAGCTGACTTCGGGAAGCTGGGCCAGCTCCTATGAAGAGGCTTTCCGGTCCACTTGTGCTGTAGCCCCTTCTGGCTTCTGGTAGCTCTCAGAAAGCCGAGGAGGTGCCACCCCTCCTTTATAGCACGCTCACATTTATAGACTAGCTTTAGATTTTCATGTACAAAAGACAATCCCAGAGACTCTTAAGAACCTTCATAATCAACTGCATTCAATATAGATAATACTGTTGGTCTCTTTTGCCATTTTCTCAAAGTACAAAGTAATTTTGAACTTGTTCCACATGAGGAGCCCATCTACTAGAGGTTGGTGATCTGCGAAGGTTGGGCCAAGTCTAGGTTTCCACAGAACTCAGCTAGGACTCTAGGAAGTTCCCATGCAAATAAACTCATCCATCACCGGTGAAAAAAAAGCCCCCTGGGGTTTCAGAACCAGTATTCATAGTCCCATTTCTGTACTGGTTTAATTGAATTTTGCTTCCCAGAGCAGGTATATTTTTAGCAACAGAAAAGCATTCTGTTTGAATTTCTGTTGCAAATGAAACATTACTCATGGAAAATGTGGAATATTTCATAACACTTCCTAGAGGGCCCCAGTGGAAGAAGTTTGAGTATGTCTGTATCTGTATGGGACAGTCCCATGCTTAGGAAGTTCAGATTTCCCCTGTAACTGTGGGACTAAGCTGAGCTTTCTACAAACAGGAAGTGTGGTGTCTATGCCCAGTTATTCCATAATGTGTTTGGTGTTCTTATTGCTAAATTCAGTCTTGAGTTTGAGTTTGAGTTTGAAGCCAATATCAAATCTTTAGTCTTTACTACCAGTCTTCAATATCAGGTCTATTCCTGGACTCTGGGTTGGGTCAGGTGACAGCTGTTTGTTAAGTCCAGTGTTTGGACTGGATTCCAGTGATCTACAATTATCCAATGTATAGACAGATAACCAAAATATTTTCTGAGTCACTTAATAAATCTTTCAGGTTTGATTTATCTGTGATTTTTATGAAGAAAGCATACTGTTTGTGGTAGGTAGAATAATGGCCCTTCCCAAAGATGTTTATGTCCTAATTCCCTGAACTTGTGAATGTGTTAGGTTACATGGCAAAGGGTAATTAAGGTTGATCATTAGTTATCCTTCGACGGGATGATTATCCTGGAATATCTGGGTGGTTCATTATAATCACAAGGTCCTTAAAAGTGCAAAAGGGAGGTGGGAGAGTCAATGTTAGTGATCCAAAGTGAGAAAACTCGCTGGTCATTGCTGGCTTGGAGGATGGAGGAAGGGGCCATGAGCCAAGGAATGGAAGCATCTTCTAGCAGTTGGAAACGGCAAAGAAACGCTTTCCCCTAGAGCCTCAAAAAGGAGCATGGCCCTGCCTCCACCTTGATTTTAGCCCAGAGAAACCAGTGCCAGGCTTCTGACATCCAGAACTGTAAGGAAGTAAATTTGTATTGTTTTAAGCCACTGAGTTGGTGGCACTTTATTACACCAGTGATAGGAAACTATTACATTATTCTGTGTATTGAAGTTAAAACAGGTACAGGTTTCTCCATATCATGGTTTAAAATCTCAGTCATTCTGAGGTCATAAACCAGGAGTTGCAGTAGCTTCTACTAAACTTATTCTCAGACTGTCTGTCAAGACACTGCATGCTGAGTGGATGCTGTCAACAGTGTTGTCTCACATGAGAGCCTGGCCCATTGGCTCCTGTCATTCGTACAACTCTGCATTCCACAAAATTGAGTTTCTGGGCAGAAACCACCTGACAGGAAGCAAGCATCTGTAACAGCTTGTCAGTACCACCATTGATGAAGCTGCCACAGAACTGGGCAAAAATGTTTGAGTTTGAACATTAATGGGAAATGAAACTTGAAACCAAATTCAAGTCAGCTTGAGAACAGAGGAATCAGGAAGTCCATGCTGTAGAAGGTGTAACGTTTTGTGAGCTGTAACAACTGTCTGTTGGTGCATCAATGGAAGAAATTGGTATTGTTGTCCCTTCCTCTTGGAAAGTAGTAGATGGGCAGCTACCCAGATTCACTTGTACAACTGTATTAATTGGCTCAGTAGCAACAGGATTTACAGTTTTTGAAAGAGGTCAGCTCTCCTGCAGAGAGCACTTAGGAACCTAGGTAAAAAATCAGGGTTCTAATAGCAAAGTAAGTGAACGACACTTAGTAGAACCTGATTATCAATGCTCACTACCATGAGCTACACCAGGGAGTGTTGTCGTTATAAAAGTAGGCATATGGCTGCAGCCTGGGTGAGCCTGGGAGACATACTCAGTGAGAGAAGCCATACGATAGACTACTTTGTATGAGGCCATCTGCATGAACTGCCCAGAACAGGCATGTCCCTGTTGGCTTGGTGGTTGCCTGGGGCTGGAGGGGGTTGGGGGACATGGGGAGTGCCTGCTGACGGGTCTGGGGCTTCTTTGGGGGGGATGATGTTCATGTTCTAGACCTGATTGTGGTTTTGGTTGCGCTACTCTGAATATACCCAAAACCATTAAATTGTGCACTTTAAATGGATGAACTGTGTCGGCTGAGGTCATATCAGTAGAGCCTTTTAGAAAAAGATAGCCTGTGGGGTAACTGCATGGCAGAGAGCTTCACCACAGTGATACTGGGATTGGGTAAGAGCAGCTTCCCGGGCTGTCCCATGGGGGTTGTCATATCTGTTTTCTGGCATTGGAGCTTTTAGGATCAGAAGACACAGAACCTTATTTCTGAAGCTTATAGTTTTTTAATTCAGTGTCGGATTGCTTTATTGATCAGTGATGCAGCAGTTTTATCAGACCACTTCTGGTTGTGTTTGCAGGCCTCCATTTTTCTTTTTCTTACTGGGTGCATCTTTGTCCCTTGTTGGGATCATGGCCAGTTTGATAAATGTGTGGTCCCTGTGCACTTGTGCTGCTCTGAGCACAGCCATGTGCACACTGGGAGGCCCTGCCGAGATCCTTGGCGTATCTTTTTAAGTCCAGTTAGTACCATATGAATCGCTATACTTGCAAGACTTAAGGTTTTTTTTAGTCTGCATGTCCATACAATGAGAAAACGGTCTGACAGGGCCAACTGGGCAACAGTAGAATTTAGTGCCATTCTGAGATCTGTTCTCATTGTTAGACTTCCTGCACCATCCAGCTGGCCGTGGTCCTTCCCTTGTGCATGTTGGGCATGGGGCTGCAGGGACAGAATACATGGGCTGTTGGTGTCAGCCACCTTGCTCACTGCTGGTGGACCAGCTGCCAGGCTGGTGCCACCGAAGCCACGGCCAGGGGCAGCTGCTTTCCTGCAGCCGTCCTAGAGTTCCTGACAGGCCTGAGGAGGGGGCAGCAGCAGGGTGGGGACCTCCTTGTGGCAGCCGGAGCTCCCGAGGCCCCTGCTGCCACTGCACCATAGCCTCAGCGCCCTCCCCTTTTAGTCTGTCCCCACGGCTTCTTGGTGCTGCCTACAACACAAGGAAAAGGATGAGAGAGTCCTCAGGACCCGGCAGCCAGTTACTTATTCACAGACACTTTGTTGATTGCCTTCTCTTCTAGTCATGAAACCTCAATTGAGGGCATTGTGCTAGGTACCGAAGTGGAGGTTAAAGTGCATGAGGATGAACAAGCCTATAATTTAACAAAGAAAGAAAGTATCTGTGACCCTGCAGAAAAGATATCTTTGGTGGGTATGTGCAGTGAAGGAGTTGCCTGTTTAGAACCCCCTGTGGTGCAGGCTGGTGCCCGGCACCTGTGCAGGAGCATGGGCCACAGAGGCACCAGGCAGGACAGTGGGTCCAAACCAGCCGCAGCACTGGATGCCTGGGTGGGGCCGTGGGAGTGGGGCTGCACAGGCAGGCTGGAGCCAGCTCTGGAGGGTTTCAGTGCCAAGAGTGCCTATGACATGGGGCTGCCCCCAGTACTGTTGTTGAGGACCTGCTAAGGGCCCAATACTACCAGGTGCTCAGCTTCGCAACAGCCTTGAGAGGTTGGCATCAGTATCCCCATTTTACAAAAGAAGCCAGGCCAAGTGGTCTGCCCAAGATCGGAGCTGGTAAACGTGAAGCCTGTGTTCCATCTGCTGCACTAGGCTTGCATGCTCTCTGGAGAGACAGAACTCTTACGCAAAACATGAAGGCAGCATGGCATTCACTGTGAGGTTGAACCGTGTGGAAGTGCCATTTGTGTAGGTGACAGTGGTCAGCATCATGGTTTGGCCTAGCAGTGGGGGTCAGAGGAAGGAGAGCTCTCTCGGGCAGGAATGGTCAGCACAGGTTTTGTGGAGGAGGTAGGAGCCAAGCAAGGCCTTGATGCAGACTATGGATGGATGAAAATGAGGATTGGGAAGGGCGGGGAGGGGTCAGGGCTGGAGGGCAGCTGGATGGGCTGGCAGGGGACCTGGGGCTGTCCATCAGAGGGTAGGAGTGTGGTCCTCTGGAGGCGATCGCCATCCATTCTTTGGATTTGACCCACGGAGATAATCTTGCATGCGGCTGTCAGCTTTCTCTCTGCGTTTGGTCCTTGGTGTACTGACCCCTCCCTTTGCACACTCTCTCTGCAGGAGACAGGTGAGCAGATTGCTATCAAACAGTGTCGGCAGGAGCTAAGCCCCCGGAATCGGGAGCGGTGGTGCCTGGAGATCCAGATCATGAGAAGGTGAAGGCCGGCTATACCTGGGGGTGGGGAGGCAGTCCACGGGCCCAGGGGCCACAGGACATTGATGTGAGGTCTGGGGGAGCCCGATGAGCTTTGGGATCTGGAGCAGCAGCCTTACCTCTTGCATCTGGAAAAGAGCCATAAATCTCAGGCACTCAATCAGGGTGGCAGCCACACTCCCAGGTAGATGAGTCTTAGAGGAGTGACAGTGTCCCACAAGGCTGTGTCAATGGCTTCTGGTCAGCTTTCTTTGTTATATTAAATAATTTTAAATAGCCACTGCAGTGAATTTTCCTTTGTCAGCAAAAATCCTTTCTTCCCTTCTCCTTATGTTTCCAATTTCAAGGTGGTATGTGACTCTCCACGGCTGTGAGCCTACCTACTGCTGGTATTTATTCCTCCAGTGTGTAGACAGGGACTGTCGGTCGGTCCCCAGACAGATGCTGTCCTCCCAGCTAGAAAAGCGTTTAGTAAATCAGCAACCTAGTCAACCCAGAAGACCTCAAACAGGTATTCCCTCCTCAAACATTTAAAAAAGGGGAGGTGTCGCCTTGTTTGTGTGTGCACATGTGCATACACACACACACACACACAGATGCACACACAAATGCATATGCAAACGTGCACACATACACGTGCACACCCCCACACACCACAGTCCCACTTGAATGGCATGGGACTGGAAGCCCCTGTCTCTGCTCTGAGGAGCAGTGTGAAGGTGCAGGAGGGACTTGCGGGCACTATAGACAGTTCATCCACATGTGACGCTCTCACGGTTCTTGAGCTGGTGGTGCCCAGAATAGAGCAGGGTGGCTACTGAGTGACCAGATGTGGAGGCGAGTGGCCAGTGCCTGACCACCGGCTTCCTCCTTGCACCTGAGGGCCCATGGCTGTTCCGGGCCTTTGCAGTGAGACGAGCTGCACTGCCACACAGTGGGAGAATTGGTGGCCAAAGCCTGGTCCCTCCCTCACTGATGTTTCCCTCCTAGGCTGAACCACCCCAGTGTGGTGGCAGCGCGGGATGTCCCCGAGGGGATGCAGAACTTGGCTCCCAATGACTTGCCCCTGCTGGCCATGGAGTACTGCCAGGGAGGAGACCTCCGAAAGGTGAGGCCCCCAGGGTGGGGGGCACACGCCTGTCTGGGCGCGGAGTGACAGGGAGGCCTTCCCCACTCCTGCCATCAGGAGACTCTGGGAGCATCAGGGACTCCTCGAACCTCCTCCTCCCATGTCCCACGTGGAGTGGTGTGTGTGATGTGAATCAAGAGACTGAATCAGAAGCTCTTACGAGAAAGGCAGGGAAGGGCTTGTCCGGTGTCCTGCATGGCGCTTACTCAGAGGACAAGGAAAGAGTCCCCAGGTCCTGAGGGTGGGGAAGGATTGGACGAGCCCCAGAATAAGCTTCTCTCCCCTTGACAAGTTCGGGCCCGTTGTCTTTCTGTGTCGGCGTCACTGCTGTCCCCTCAGGAGGGATTTTCTCCCTCAGCTGTGGTGGCACCCCTCACAGGGTCACAGAGGGAGCAGGAAGGGAGCTGGCTTAGTAATCAGGGAACTGGGCTGGGGTTGCAGAGCCACCGCTGACTCACCTTCTGGCTTTGCCTTCCCCCTCAGTGCCCTCATTCCCTGTACTTGAACGCACCCTGCAGGGTGGGTGATGGCAGCCCTCCCTGGTCTCAGAGACGCTGAGCATGTCCTCCTCCCCAGCAGTCCCCAAAACTGTGCTGTACAACCTGCTTTTCCATGTTCCTTGTTTGACTTTCAACAGCCCTGTGATGTTGGTAAAACAGATGTGATCCCCACGTGAAGGCTGGGTGTCGTGGCCCACAGAGGTCAGGAGGATTAGCAGGCCTCACCGAGCCACGGTGGCCGAGCTGGCGTCACAGTCTGTGGGAGCCCTGCTGCGGGCCACCTGTCCATCTGAGAAATTGAGCAATGCCATATGGCCTGGGGCCAAATAAAAGAGTTGTTTCTGTGTTGAAAAGAGGTTGCTGTGTTATTGCCCATCTCCCTCAGCTCTTCAGTCTAGAAGGTCCACGGTTTGGGGACGGGGCAGGGGAGGCAGGGCACCCAGGCCTCGTGGGGTAGTTTCCTGGACCCGGCGTCACGGGCTGTTCTCATCACTCCTCTGGCCCCTTCTGCCACCTTTTCCAAAAGGAAACTTTCCATGAGGCTCCATCTCCCCAGTGACTTTCTCCTACCACCAGAGGCAGGCATGTCCTGGGAGTGTCACGGCAGGATGTGAACGCTGTCACAGGCAGAGCCCACGAGCAGGGGACTAATACCCAGGGAGAGACATGGAACTTGGCAATACTTTGATTTTCCTTTTTATTTGCCTAACCATTGACAGTCATCCCATTACTAACTGCAGCTATTTAAGGAGAAAAAGCCATGTTGTCATTGAGAGGATGGCTTGTAGAGGACAGCGTGGGAGGCACGCGGGTTATGGCCAGATTGCAGAGGGCTCTGAGGTGGGTGGAGAGCTTTAGAGGTAATCTTACAGGCAGCGAAGAGCCAGGCAGCTGGGGAAAAAGATACAGACTTCTTCAGCCCGGTTGACTTGGCATGGGGTGCAGGCTGACGAGGTGGGGCCTCTGTCACCCAGGGACATTACAAGGAGGACACTGCTGCCTACAAGGAGGACACTGCTGCCTGGAGGCTCAGGATATCGGTTCTCTGTGTTCTCCGAGTGAAGTAGCCTTTCCCTCCTCTAAAACGTTTCCAAAGCATGCTTGTGGGCATGGAGAGACAAGCTTGGCCAGCACATAAGCAAATGTAAAAGCCAGAGCTGATGAAAAGAGTGAAGCCTGCATGCCTGGCTCAGAAAGCAAGCTCTTGGACAGTCATGGATGTAAATGTTAGCTAATGATGGTAGACCTCACTTGGGAAGTTGTTTTCTACGTTTTCTTTCTTCATTTGAGGCCAACTTCCAGTGATCTTGATTAAGTTGAGAAGGTCAGGAGGGCAAAGAGTGTGAGTGTTTGGGCTTGAGCCTCAGGTACACCTGGCTCCACGTTCCAGCTCCCTCTGGGGTGGCCCTGCACACTCAGGTTCCTCCTGTGGAATGGAGACTCCAGCAGTGCTTATCCCAGGGTGGTGGGGAGGATAAAATGAGATGATGCGGGGAACACTCCATTACTGCGCTGATCCGAGCAGAGGTAGCCCAGTGCGGGCACGCAGTACGTGCTCATTAATATTCCCTCCTGTTGTCACCCCTGCACTGGCGAGGCGGTGCGGGGAAGCAGGCAGGGGACATCTTCAGTGAGTGTCTTCCACCCGCCCTCTGCAGGTCCATGTGGAGGGGCAGGCCCATTGTGGCTGACCTCTGACCCCTCAGCTGTGCATGGGTGAGTGCCTCTGGGAGTTCTCAGGGCTGCTCCTCCTCAGGGCTGGGGTTAGCGCCCAGACAACCTTGGCTGATAAACACACACTAGTGGACTTACTGGTGGCTGGTGACCACTCACTCTGATGCTTCTTTTCAACTTCTCAACAGTACCTGAACCAGTTTGAGAACTGCTGTGGCCTGCGGGAAGGAGCCATCCTCACCTTGCTGAGCGACATTGGTAAATTCCAGCCCTGGAAGGCAGGCCGGGCCCTCCAGGGAGAGTCCTTGAGGAGCTGGGTGGGGAGATACTTCTGTTCTGTGGTCTTCACACCGGGTGGGGTTGAGGAGGGACAGATGGAGTGGGGAGGTCACCAAGGGGCTAGTCAGGCAGGCGCTGAACTCAAATAGATTTCCTTTCCTTCCGGACTCAGTCATGAAGTGGATTGTCATGTCCGTAGAATAACAGATTTCCTCTCCCATTACAAAGCTCCGCTCCCTACTTTCCTGGAATGGCCCACTATGGACTGGGTTGTCATCTGAATGAATTGCATCCCTCAGCAACAAATTCTTCCGCTTCCACACTGGTGGTTCTTATGCCAACCGCAGGCAGAGGAGAAAGCTACCCTTGTTTAGTCCTTTGGTACCATTGGCAGTGTCCCCAGATGGGGTCTGCAGCTGAGGGGCCTGCAGCACCCACTGGGTGGGCGGGCCCTCTGGGGAGAAAGTGACCTCACCCTGCAGAGTGCGGGCGTGGCCTATCTCCTGGGCCCTGACGTCCCTCCAGGAGGGGGCATGGAGCACGAACTCCAGTCTGGGAAGCAGAAGTGAGCGATGGGCTGGCCCAGCCCACCCCCTGCCTTTTTGTTGTTGTCTTTAAATATCCAGTTGATAGTTTGACATCTAAAGTGTAGAGTCATCCAGAGTTTATCACTCAGTGTTTGCCCCAGATGCAGGGATGATAACCATTTCCATCTATTTCTACCACAGCCTCTTTGAAGCTATAAGGTTTTTTTTCGCTCAAGCTCTTTTTTTTTTTTGGAATATGTCAAATATACAGAAAAGTTGAGAGTAGTGAAATCCACTTACCCTTCACCTAGGTTTACCAGTTGTCACCATTTTGCCACATTGTAAACTGTGTTCTCTAGTGCTCATCCTGGAAGGATGGTTGGGCCCCCAGTCTCACTTGGCCTTGCTAGTGTGGGTCTGTCTTCCCCTTACTCTGTGTCGATAGAGGGTGGGCACAAAGGAAGTGAGGGCAGGGGAGTCCAACACAGACATATTTTAAGTGAGGATCCAGGTGATCTGACATAGAAAATTCCATCTCCCTATATATCCTGTGTCTGTCCTTTGGATGCAGTTCACAGTGAGGGCAAATTGATATTGCATCAGTTTTACTTGACTTGAATGGGTGTCCACCACTGGCCAGACCGGTCCCTTCATGTGTGTGGCCCATGTGGATCTACTGAAGGGCCCTCTCTATCTAGCGGGTCTGATTTTTAGGTCAAGAATCCCACCTGTTTTCTTGACGCCTTGTCACAGGGCTCACCCATTCCTGTCTTGCTCAGACATTTACTTGATTGTGTCTTTTACCCAAATCATTAATTATTCTCTGTTGAGATGGGTTGAAGGCAGGTGAGAAGTTGGGAATATGCTTTTGCTCTTCATGAGCAACTTTTGTTTTTTTTCTCTCTGGTTGGAACTTCAAGTCTTATTTTTTTATGTCATTCTACCAAATATTTTTCTTTCACTTACCAGATTATTTGGGCACTCAGAAAATAGTTATTAAGAAGGTCTTTAAATTATTGGCTCAAGTACACATAACTACCTCCTCAGAAACCTTTACGTCCTCAAGTGATCCTCTAGTGAGGTTAATAGAGCCTCTACTGGTCACATATTCTTTGATGTGGGCACATTTTATGTCTGGTTATCACTGACTTGTGTGGTAGCTTCCACATTATCTAGTAACTGTTCAGGTTGTGTGTTTAAGTCATATGTAAGTCAGAATAATGAAGACAGGTAAACTCCCAAGTGTTTATGTGGGTCATTTCTCTTGTAAATGGATGAATATTAAAATTCCTTAAGTCACTGATCCCCTCTCTTTCCTCTCTGTGACTCCAAATTGGAAATAAGGAGGCTTTGAAGTACTAGTACACTAGAATTAAATTCTGAAGGCAGAGACCGGTCACTGCTCTATCTCTAGCATCTGAAACAGTAGTACTTTACATAGCAGCTTCTCTATAAATATTTGTCAAACAAATGAAATAAATTCCAAACATAAATAAAATAAGTGCCTATTTTTAAAAAAGAACAGATGTCCACATATAATTAACATTGCCAGGTCACTTACCAGTTCTAATGCTTATTGGCAGCGTGACCTTACGTTTATTACTTAATTTTTAAGAACATCAGTTTTGCTAGCTATAAAATGGGAATGTTACTCACCTCATTAGCATTGTTACGTGGATAAAATAAGGTGACACGCCTGAAGCCCCCAGCACAGTGCCCTGCTCCTGGCATACCACACAGTCAGCACATATTGGGTCCTTTCTCATTTCCTTCCCACTCTAGATTATGGCATCCCTTTAAAACTTCCATCACCTAGTTTGGGTTTCTGAGCTGAGGCTGAAATCCAGTGAGCCAGGCAGGTGGCTGTGTTGTGAGACTTCCCTTCCTGGAAATGGTTAACAGGCCTCAGACTCGTCCCTATCTCAGTCACCTTGTGAACAGTCACATCCCCTGATTTTGTCCTTGTGGTGGAGGTTGCTGATAAGCTTGTATTTTACATTCATTCCCATTTCTGATTTATGTACAAGATTCATCAAATTTATTTCTTTTGCAAGGATCTCGTCACTGAGCCAGAGTTCAAAAGGTTTTCTTGGAGCTCATCTAACATAACTCTTGTGTTCTGAAACATTTCCTGAGCATATTTTGTTCCAGTTTGTTCTGAGGGCTGACCCCACGTTCCCTTTGTTGGAGTTGTCCCTGCTGTTCTCTGCCAGGTTGACTTTAGATAAGGGGCAGAGCCACACCCTCACCATGGGTCCAGATCCATTACCTTCTCCTCTGGCTTCACCTGTTAACCCCTAACCTCTCTTCCCCTAACCTCCCTGGGATGCCTGCTCAGAGCAGCATCAAGATAGCAGACACAGGTAGGATTTTTCCAGTGAACTTTAAATTGCCCGAGAAGATATTGCCAAATAAATACGTAGGGGAAAGTCATCAGATGCTGGGTGAGCACATGGGTGAGCCCCCTGTTTCCTGTACCAGGACAGGTCTGTTAGACCATTGCTCTTATGCTGATAAGAGATCCAGGGACAGGTGCAGGGGCAACCGGTAATGATCTGGCTTCCACAGAATATGACCCTAAAATAGCTAAAGGAAGTTTAAGGAGACTCCATTTAAACAGTGTTGCTCATCATCCTTTGGAAAATATTGGAGTGTGTTTCCTCCTGCCAGCAGAGGAGCGAAGTCCTGAGCACTGAGGACTGGGGGGCATACTGCCGTTCTCTGAGGCCCGTGTTCCCACTGTCTGAGGAGGGGGACCCGCCCATGTCCAGGCAGTCCTGGGGGCCAGTTGCGCAGTCTCCATGGCCTTAGTGGACCTTAGATCTGAATCCATTTTCCTTGATTCTTCAGGTGGCTGGTTTACTATGGTGACTGACTGTCCTGTCCTCTGAGCTATCAGAGCCCCACTCCCTGGTTCCATGTGGGCTTCCTTCTCAGAGTCACCACCTCTGTCCCCCCCTGGGGGCTCCTAGCAGGCGTCCAGTGTGTGTGTCAGCACTACCAAGCCAAGGTTTCAGACAGAATGCAGGACTTTAGGGAAGAGAGCGCCATCCCAGGGATCAGAAAATCAGGCTTTCTCTTTGTATCTCTCCAGTTGTAGAATTACAACAAAAAATGGTTACTCAGAAATGTCAGATTCAGATCATTTGTACACAGAGTATGCCAGGAAGTGTAAATTACCAGATTGAGAGTTATTGTACTAACAGCTGAGCAGAGCTGGCTTTCCATCCCGATGTCTCCACTCTCCCAGCTGTCACCTTGGATAGGTGGTGACATTTTGGTCCTTTATCTTTCCATTTCTTCTCTGTGGAAAACTGTATGATAACTTTTTGGGCCTTTGGGTCCTCTACGTTTAAAGTGAGGGGTTTGGGATAGGTGATCTCTCAGGGCCCCAGAACCCTAAATATTCCATGTTCCTTATCAGGAGGCTTGTTTTCACAAGGGTCGCCCCAGGATCTTTGGGGTCCACGCCACTGCCTGAGGCCCACTGCTTCCTAGTCTCTCTCACTCCTCCCTTAACACATCCTCTTTTGCCCAGAGCTCTGTCTCAAGGCTTTTCTGTCTTTTCCTACACCATTCTATTCATCCCTCCCTGCATTTGGACTGACCTCCCATATTCTGTTTGTCAGACCATTCTCTTGACATCTTTATCAAGCATATCTTCTCCAAAATCTGTATATTTAACCATAATCTCTATCCTCAGCTCCATATCTATGTCTATATGGTAATTCTCCCCAAATCACTTCCAAACTAAAGTCCTAGACTTCTTCCTTAAACCAGATGCCCTCCTGATGTCCATTTCCTTGTGTCACTAGCCCCATCTTTCTGCCAGTTACCCAGACATGAGTGCCAGTTTTGAATCTCATCTCTTAGAATCTGCCCCACTTCCTGCGCCACATGCTCCTGTTTACAAAGCCTCCAAATCCTTTAGCTGACCTTCCCCCTTTCAGTTCCCACTGCCTCCACTAATTCAGTGTCATAGCAAATTACTGTAATGACCTCTTCCCTGACTTCCTTATCCCCATTTTTCAAATCCATCCTTGCTTTTGAAAGGATGCTTTTGACATAATCCACCATTGGGTCAAGCAAGGCCAGACCTCCTAACCTTGCATTTGTCCTGATCCACCATAGCGAACTAAGCATGGATATGGCTCTTAAAATCTGCTTTTCAATCCTCCTGCCAGCCTTTGCACACTTTCAAAAGGCTGCTCCTGCACCTCTGTGATGGCCCTAACCTCTCATCTTTGGGGACGGTAGACCTGCCCGTCCATGGGGACCACCCTGATCATCACTCACATGGGATTCTTGCTCTCACAGGATTCCTCTCCCTTGCTGCCTCTTCCACTCATTTGGAACCTGGTTTCTCTGCTGTGTTACATGATCTCTGCCTGTGCCTGACAGTGAGGATTGACTTCTAGCTGTGGGCCCACTGACCAAATTTTGCATAGCAAG